GAATCCATTAGATTTTATAGAATGGGAGAGATTCGTCGGATCGAAGTAGGGGAGAATCATTCAGCTTTTCAGGAGCGAGATCAGTCGTGAAACTAGAATGAGTTTTATATTCCCATTGGGAGAGAAGATGATTCAGGTGGCCATCTGGATTGAGGATTGTGTGGGTTGGGAGTTCAGGAATTTTCAACAGTTAGTTTGCGCCTTCTTCGTGATGGATAATAAGCCTTTGATGGACCCATGTTGGAGTTCCAAGCATGACCCGAGCCTGGTTTGGGCGCATAGTCTGGGGCATGTTTGATTCATGATGAGTATGGATGGATTGATAGATGTGCGGTAAGACCATCCCCAATGGCCATGGCAAGATAGGAGTGTTTTAAGATTGTCGGGTGGCTCGAAACATTCACTAGGCTGGCAGATATCGTAAGAGTGTTGTAAGACTATGGGGTGGCCCGTAGCATTCACTAAGTTGGCAGATAGTGTAGGAGTGTTGTAAGACTTCGGGGTGGCCCGTAGCATTCATCGGTCCTTATGCAGCGATGAGGGCGTGGCAAATCCAAGATTAGTTATAGATTTCTCTAAATGGATTAGACCAAGATGGGTCAGTTTGTAAGAATGTGGGAGGGCTACAACATGTATGGAACCAGGAAGTAGTAGGTAGTTACGGACCGGTTGTGATATAAGACTACAGTTGGTGATATAGCTTTCACTCTTAGCATGGGATTTGGTGGCGCTAGTTAGATCGAGTTGTTATGATCAGTTGGATTAGAAATATTGTTAAAGTTGTGAGTGGAGAGATCGCTAGGGAAATTATTGCCAGCTGAGGCTTTCATTTGGAATTCGCGTGGAGTGACTGTGTGTGTCTATTTGACTCAACAACTGGGCGGGAATCCGGTGAATCGGTGAGTTGGCTGGTAAGTTTGGACCAAGGAGGTCCCAACTTCTTTTGGAAAGCAGCCAGGGGCAGCAAGATGAGTCGGACAACATTAGTGATTTGGGATTCGTGTGTGGAGTCCCTTGTTATTTGGGGAATATGCCAAGTCACTTATATTTTGGATTGAATAATATCATAGTAATTGATTTAAATCTGTTGTGCAGCTCTCGTCTGAGTCTAACCGTTGAAGGGACGAATCTTCTACTTAAAGGATTTTCTGATCCTTCTGTCAAGTATAAGTGTTTCGCAATAGTAAATGGTCAATGATTTTGTTCCTAATAGAAGCATCAAGATGATTGCGGGTTGGAAGCGTTTTGTTTGGTCTGGAATTCAATGAAGATTTGTCATGGTAGTGAATCAGTATGGGCGGTCTGTCGGGGGGTCAGAACAATACGAGATTTCATATTTCGGGGAAGGTAGAAGTGGTTTCTGAATGGGATTAAGGATCCGTTCTTCTTCGGGTTTGGAGAGTTCTGCTAGGGTTGGGTTCGGTTGCCTTTGGAAGGTTGTGGTACGCGTAGGGGTTGTGATTATCTTGTTTAATTTGTATGGTGTTTTGGGAATGATAAGTAATGATTTCGAGGAAGAAATCTAATTTAAGTGGGGGAGATTTGTAATGCCCTATCCTGAATCGTTACCCGTTTTGGTGTGGGTGACGTAATATAGATGATTCAGGTGTTCGGATTGGGTTTTGGAGCCAAAGGGTATTTTGGTAAAATGACAGCATGAGCTTTTATGGAAATAGAATTTTTTTTTCGGGGAATTTATGGAAAGTATAAGTTGATAAAAGTGTAGAGCTTCACGTTACCTTCTCATAGATATAAAGATCGTCGAAATCAGATTTATAACGAAGAAGTTATGACCTTCGAAATATTTTAGGGTTTATGAGGAAAGCCTAGTACGTGGGGAGTACATAGGGAGTACGCGGGGGGTACTAGTGCGAAGGGCAGTACGCTAGGCATACATTGGTGTAAGCTTAGCGTACCTCGAAGGAAGGATCGTCAAGGCTCAGCCTCGTATGTTTGGCGTATGAGGAGTACACTCGATGTATGGGGTGCTAAAACCCTAATTTTTTAGAGTGTGTACCCGATTTAAGCACTTTAAATCTTTATAGTTGGCCTCTTTACCAGTCCCCAAACCTTCTAAAACCCTAAATTGACCCTTTAGCGTATTTTTGATGTTCTTGAACTATTAAGAAGACTTTGGTGCCCATTTTTGCCTTTGTAGAGGAAGTAGAGAAGCTTGAAGTTATCTTGCTTGGTGAGAAGGTTTTGGATAAAAAATTATCATCTTTTGGGCAAGATTTATGAGGTATAAAGTTTAAACCTTTGCTTGTAGATGTTTATATCTCCTTGTAGCTTATTTTGTTATGCTTTTGGTCCTTTTTGGGTTGATGGAACAGTTAAGACGTTTTGAGGGCTTGTCTTTTTAGATATGAGTTTGTGTTGGACTCCTTAAGCATAACGGAGCTTTGTGGGATTTTTGGTCACAGTCATGCATTAAGTCGCTTATTAATTCCTTTTTAAGCTTAAGAACTTCATTTAGCCATGCATGAACGTAAAGTTAGCAACTTTACATGATAACCCAGCTGAAGGAAGTTAGATCTATGTTCTGGAGCTTTGTCTTAAGGGATTAAGGGTTGAATCAAGTTTTAGGCTGAAAAGGATGAGTACGCTGGGCGTACAAGCAGGTACACTTAGCGTACAAGCCTCCAAGCAAGTACGTTGCGTGTACGTGTTGAGTACGCCCCACGCTCGGTCTATCTGGCCTCGCATATTTGGGCTTCGGGTTTGGGCCATCTTTGGGCTAAATTGCTTGGGGGCATTGTTGAGCCATCTTAATGTAGGTGTTTGGGCTAAGAGAAATTGGTGGGCCTTAGGGTAAGGCCCATGTAGGGATTGGGGCCCAATTTGGAAAATTGGGTCATATGTGGCTCTTGAATGGTTACTTGGGTTTTGGACTTTTGAATTGAAAGATTGGGCCTTAGTTTTGGGCCAAATTAGGTAATGGGTAAATTAGTTTTTACCCTAAGTATGGATTGAAGGATATAGATTCAACTTTAATTGTTAATTGGGTGTTATATGATATTGATCGCTTGGGGAATTGTTGGACCAACAACCATGGATTATCGGTGTGATTCAGCAGTGTGAGGTGAGTCTCCTCGCTATACTATGGATCGAAGGAACCAATGTCAACCCTATTGGTTTATATATTATAGGAAGGCCATAGGACGGACCTTGGCATTTGTATGAAAGACCAGGAGGTGGATCATGGCAAATATGTATGCAAGACTAGAATTTGGACTCTGGCAGTTAAGTAGATAAATAGTGGTAGGTTGTATGCTAGTTGTCTTTGTGATGCTTGCATGGAAGAGCAGGAGGTGGATCTTGGTACTTGTCTATAATACCCATGGTTTTGGTCCCCGACCTGGCAAGGAAGACCATGATACGACTCGTGACATTATGACAAGACTATGGTTGGCACATAGCACCTCCTACGGAACGTTGGATATGCATGCTATGTTTGACTCATGTGTTATGTATAGTATGTGATATTTAGAGAACTCGCTAAGCTTTGTGCTTATAGTTGTTGTTTATGGTTCCAGGTACTTCCGGTTCGAAAGGGAAGGACCCGACCTAGTCGCAACGCATACACACATATGTTTCCGAAATCTTGAGATTTTGGGATTGTACTCTTATAACTGTTTTTATTATAAAATACGTTTAAGTGTTTTGGTAAATGATAAATGGGTGTTTTGGTAGTTTTAAAAATGAAAATTTTACCTTCACATTTTGAAGTGTTACATTTACATTCAAAATGCAACACTTATAAACATTTAAGTTTTAGAAATCCAATACTTTTTAGAAGTGTTGCTCTTTTCAATAAAACATGCAACACTTGAAGATACGGGGTTGCATCATATATGTTAATGCAACACTTATTAAAAAAACTATTTTGGCATCACGAACAACACTTTTTAGTAGTGATAAGAAAACAATCCCCAAAATGTTGCTTCAAAAATGTTGCTTTAGGCTCATTTTGTAGTAGTGATAAGAAAACAATCTCCAAAAATAACCCTTCATCAAAATAAAAAAAACCACATGTAAATCAAAGTTAAGAATTGTGGAAAAAGGAAAATTGAAATAAAAATTAAATCAGAGGGAAGGGGTCTACAACCGACACTCAGAAAGACGACCATTGTGAACCACCCTTCATCCCTACTAGAAAATGCACTACCACCGAACCACTTACCACCACCGTCACAGATAACCTATCATGCCAGTCGATGTGGCCTATTGTCACCTCTATAATCTCTATGAACTAAGATCGTGGCAACTTACAAGATACAAAAAATTTGAACTTTTTAGCAAAATATCAAAAAAAAGAGATATTCTTGATGCTTACTTGAAATTGCAGTCTGGAAGTGAACCAACCAACAAAGCTAATGCAAGTTACGGATGACTGACATGCGTGATAATGTCATGATTAAATGGTGGTGTTGGTGAAGTGTAGGGTTTGTAGAGAATGGGAGAGTGTAAAGTTGGTGGAGAGAAAGATGTAAAATTATAAAGACAGATGCCGAGATTATGGAAGCTGGAATTCAAAATTGAACAATGTAACTAAATGCATGATAAACATGGAAGAGATATGGGAAATATATATATATATATATATATATATATATATATATATATATATATATATATATATGCATTGATTTTATTGTACTTAATTCATCATGTTTTGTACGACTTTAAAAATAATATTATTTTATATATAAATATTTGTACTATTAGCTTAATAGTTTGGACGTCTTAAAAAATTAATATTATATATTAAATCTATTTTTAAAAATAATGAAATTTCTATTTTATATATATATATATATATATATATATATATATATATATATATATATATATATATATATATAGGTAAAGGTTCAAATGAGAACAAAAAAATATTAAGAACCCTAAGAACCGCTTTTTTTTTTGAAAAATTAAACTTAAAAGTCATTATTATGTATTAGATGACAAACACTGAAGTCATCAAACTCTTTTAAACTCTCTCACCAAACTTGAAGAACACACCAACCATACCACCACCTACCACCAACCACCACCACGCCACGGTTGTTGCCGCCTCCTACCACCGGCCAACCACTTCCATTAGATATGTATGATCCAAACGATTCCAGATCTACGTTTTCAGTTTCAGATCCACGATTAATGTCACTAGGTTTATGATTTTCTGTTACAGATCTACAAGTTCCGACAAGCAACGAAGATCCACCACTATCGTCAACGATCGTCACCGCTGTTATCGTCATCCTCTGATCTCCGGTGAAACACCATAAGATGTGTCGCCTCCTTCTCATCTTCTTTGATATTTGGTGAAAAAGTACTAGATCTGATGTGTTTCAGGTTACATCTCAAGTGAAACATTACTGTCTACGTCGCATCAGAGCTTACTCACACTAGATCCATCATCTTTGTTTCCTCCACTACAAGATTAGAAGTTTTCTGGTCCAGATCTATGATTTTCGCCACCACAAATGTCTAGATCTGCAATTTTTGTCAACATCGATGTGAAGGTCTACAAGCTCCAACAGGATCTGATTTCGTTTTCTTCAAGTCTCATATTTGGTGAAACACCGCCAACTTGTCTCCATCTTTTTCTCTCTGATCTCTGGTGAAACACCACATCAGGTATGTCAATTTTTATATTGATTATTTTTCCTTTTGTTAAACTGTGAATTTAATGTTTTAATATATTTTTTATTGTTTACTTTTCTTAATATTAGTTTTAACTACTATGAAGTTGTGAATCCAATGTTCTTAATACGTGAATCCAAGTTTATGTTCTTATTTGTTATGATATTTGCATAGATTTTTGTTTCATAACATAGGTTTTTTAGTTGTTAAGTTGTGAATTGAATTTAATATGTGTTATAATGTTAATGTTTTCTCAAATAATGTGAATCTATGTTTTTTAAGTTGTGAATTGTGATGTTTAAATAGTTTTATTAAATTTTTAGTCATGTTAATATTAGTTTTAAATGTTACGAATAAGAAAGTGTTAGTTTTATGTTGTAAATACATGATTTGTTACAAGTTTAAGTTGTGAATATATGATTTTTTATAAGTTTTAAACTGTGAATGCATGTTTTATATTTATTTTTCTACTTACATCTATTATAGATCTTTATGATGCATTTTTTTTTTTTATCGTTTTTGTTCTTCTGTTAAGGTGTGGATTTAATGTTTTAATCTCTCATTTTTTTTATAATCTTAGTGTTAACTTCTATTAAGATGTGAATTTTTTGTATAAACTGTGAATTGACTATATAATATGTGAAATATGTGTGTTAAATTGTTTGTTCATTGTATTAAACTATAAATTTTGTGTATTAAACTGTGAATTAATTGTATTAAGAGTGTTAAGTTGATAATATGGTTGTGAACGCATACTTTTTGTATACTAAACTAAGATTTATTGTACTAAGCTATGAACTTTGTATATTAAGATGTGATTTTCGTGTTTTAAATTGTGCATTAACTGCATTAAGATGTGAATTTTTTGTTTAAAATGTTAATTGATTGTATTAAACTATGAATTTTTTTTTTGTATTAAAGTGTGATTTGTGTTTTAAACTATGAATTGAATGCATTAAACTGTTAATTTTTTATAGTAAAAATGTGATTTTTGTGTTTAAAAATATGAATTAACTGCATTAAACTATGAATTTTCTGTTTAAATTGTAAATTGACTGTATATATTTTGCTGTAAATTTTTTGTAATTTGTGTTAAAATATGAATGATTTATGTATAATTTTTTGTGGTAAATTTCTTATGAATATATTTATTTTTTTGTTGTATAAATTTGTAAGGATCCACTACTTTTTATAATTGTTTTGTATTAAATTCAAAATGAGTGAATTAATAGACTTAATTAGATTGTGAATTTAGTATTTAAGTTGTTAATGTATGACTTTATCTACAAATCTGATTGGAAGAAATGACGGCTACTATGTTGATACAGGTGGTTGGTGGTGGCATGTGGTGGTAGAATTTGAGTTTTTGACTTCTCTAAATTAATGAATTATTGTAAAACAATTTGTATTAAGTTGTGATTTTTTTGCATTAAACTGTAAATGCACTGTGTAAATCTATATTTAATATAAGTTTTGTGTTAAAATATAAGAGTATATACAGATGAAAATATTAGACTGTAAAAATTACAAGTTTGCTCTTTTCATACCAAAAACACAAAAAATTAGGATTTTAACATGTTTAATAAGAGTATCGTGAAAATATTTACTAATTAATTGGGGTTCTTAGGGTTCTTAATTTTTTGTGATTCTCATTTGAACCACTCCATATATATAATATATATATATATATATATATATATATATATATATATATATATATATATATATATATATACACACACACACACACACACGCACACAGTAGGTGTGAAACCCGTGTATTACTTGGGTTGATTCTAAAATATTAAAAAGAAAAAAGAAAAAACATCATAAATGGTCCCTGTGGATTCCCAAAATCTAAAGTTTAGTCCCCGTGGTTTAAAAACGTCATAGATGGTCCCTATGCTTTCAAAACTTTTGACGATTGGTCCTTATTGCTAACTCCGTTAACTTTTATCCGTTAACTGAAGGGTATTTTCGTCATTTCACTATCACAGGGACCATTTATGAGGTTTTCCTTATTTTCTTTTTTGAAAAAAATAAAATTTAATATGAAAAGGTTCCCACCGCCTCTCTCCTTCTCTCTCTCTCTCTCTCTCTCTCTCTCTCTCTCTCTCTCCAAAATCTGAAATCACTCATATCTCTCTACAAGATGAAGATGCAGCAAACCCCAACAAAACCTAATCCATTCGATTTCCCGTAGATGTACAATCCCCACCCCACATGCCGATTTCTTGTAATCAATTTCATCATCTCTCATTTCAAGATCTGGTGTTTCAGGTGTGTTATCGCCTTCCCTAAATGTTGATTTCATCATCTCTCGATTTCTCGTCGATGTACACTATCAAGACCTTCATCTCCAATACAACAATCTGAGAGCCATCATCAAGAATCACCATCAGATCGTCGAAATTAAAGCAACACCATAGATTATTTCTGAGTTCTTGAATCTGGTCCGAAAAACATGAGCCTCCGACCATCAATTCACCATTGTTGTTCCTTGCTCATTGTACTAGACGCTTGTACCAGTTTAGGCACCATACACATACTTATTCCAATTTTGTAGTCTTGTCAATTGAAAAACAGATGCCACAGGTTAGATATGACAAAATCAATTCTTTTTCAAGATTTCCAAGAACTATTTTTTTTCAAACCGATCCACTCTTAGGTTGAAGCGATAAGCCAAATTTGATTTAAGATTCATTTGAACCAGATGTTGTCGTGTACACCAGTTTTTGTCCATGGGTAATGAAAGGGTATTCCATGAGATTAAAAATTCTGTAATCAATCCAAATAATTACACTTACACCATTGCAATCGATGTTTTATGTAGAAGGATGGTAGAGATGGACGGAAACCTAGAAGATGAAATGTTGTAATTGGTGCAAATCAAAAAACCCAGACAATGAGATGTTGTAAATCAAAAAACCAAAGGAATGCTTAAACCAAATTTGATGCTCTGTATAGAAGGAGACTCACTTGACTCCAATAACTAGCACCTCCATTAGTGACTTTCCAAATTACAGTAATAGAGGTAATGAAGGCTCCATATCCAGAGAGTCATAGACAGTTCTTCTTTTCTATAACGAGCTGAGAGTAATAACACAATCTCGATCTAGAGATCTATGAGTAATATTCGTGAGACATATTTGATAACTTCTAATATTTTTTGTGATCTTCACAGCATCCCACACGATCGCCACCGGCAACTTCAGGGAGTATGTTTATGTGCAAGGAAGAGAGAGAGAGAGAGAGAGAGAGAGAGAGAGATTTTATAAATTAAATAATCATATTTAATTCTTCTTTAAAAAAAATAAGAAAAAGCATCATAAATGGTCCCTGTGGCAGTAAAATGACAAAAATGCCCTTCGTTAACAGATAAAAGTTAACAGAGTTAGCAATAAGGACCAATCGTCAAAAGTTTTGAAAGCATAGGGACCATCTATGACGTTTTTAAACCACAGGGATTAAACTTCAGATTTTTGGAATCCATAGGGACCATTTATGATGTTTTTTCAAGAAAAAAAGAAAAAACGTATTTATTGCAATTTACAATCACATTTATTACAATTAATATTTTACATATATAACTTTAAGTATTATATGGTTTTTTTATTTTTAAATTTGAAAAAAAAAAAAAAAAATTTACATGTAGATATTATTTATTTCAAAAATACTATAAAATGACAAGTGTCAAAACTCATGAGAGATTGATATGTGGCAAAATGAATTTTCATTTATTAGAATGTGTGTGTGTGTGTGTCTATATATATATATATGTGTGTGTGTGTGTGTGTGTGTGTATATATATATATATATATATATATGTATATATATAACCCGTGGGAACCACAGTTACAAAATTAATTAAAATTTCATTGTAAAAATTCAAAATTGTTAATCAATTATTTTAAATCAATTATTAATTAAGAGATATGTTTATTGGTTATGTAAAATTATATTCGTTGATTCAAATAAATATGTGAAAGTAATTTTTAATTTAGATCGGATAACTTTTATTTGTGAATTAATGTAAACAATAATATAAAATTTAAAATGGAAAATGGAAAATAAATAGATTAACAAGTAACATCACATTAATTATGAGGTCTAATAAATTTGAAATGAAGAATTAATTGATTGACAAGTGACATCATATTAATTAGGATGTCTAATATGGTGACACAGGACAAAACAACTACTATTTTATTAGTATAGGGATATTATATATATATATATATATATATATATATATATATATATATATATATATATATATAACTGTAATAAAAACCTCTTTAAACCGCCACATGACAGTTTTCTACGCTCTATATTTTACACGTGTCGTCCTATTAATAACCTGACTTTTGTTTTCCCGCTCAAACCCTAAACTCTATTTATTCATGGTCATCTATCAATCACGACTCTATCCCTCTAATTTCACCCTCCGCTTCAAAATCAAATCAAATCACGTGTACTCCGCTCATAGCATTTTCAGAATCTAATTCTTTTTCAAAACCACGATCACATAAAATTTGGGATAAATGTATGGATTTCCCTCTAAATTGCATACACAAGCCATTTCAATCATCATCTTTTATTTCATTCTCTAAAACCCTAGACCGAGGAAGAACAAAAACAAGAGTGAACAAGATGGTGCTAT